TTTTTTTTTTTGAGAAAAACAACTCTGGCGGGTGCTAGGGATGCTGGTGAGAGCAGACACCGCTAGCAATGTCGGGGGAGGCTCCATCTATTGGTGGGGAGCAGCACCTGCTGGAAAGCGGGTCCAGCGTCCCAGAACATTGTGATTGTTTGTGTGACAGCAACCTGACTTTACAGCCTGGGGTAAATGGTAGTATACATAGGTTTCCTGACTTGCTATTAGGAGACTTGGTCACCGATTCTACGTACTGTTCTCTAACCCATTCATCCATCGAACTGTTTTTTGTTGTTGCATTTGTTTGTTTAAAAAAAAAAGATATACCTGTGATAAAATTATTCTGCAGGGACCTCCTACAAAGGCCAGAATTTAGCACGAAGAAGTAGCCAGCAGCCTGACTTGCTTGCCTATTGGCAGTCTAAAGTAGGTGATACCGTGATAGTATGCTCAGACCCCATGGCTGCTACTAAATGAAAATGAAGGCAGTTTGACTGTTCTGCTTCACTCCCTTCGGCCATCTAACAACTTGTTGTCTCAGTCTCAGGACCCAGTGCTATCAACCTTGCTTAACTTTCGGTTCCAGTAGGCATGCCTGCTTCCCATTCCCCTACCCCCCACCCTTAGTCTCTTGTTGTTGCAGTAGCTTATTTAATCAAAGTAGTTTCTTGCGATAACAGTAAATTGCAGGGACCTCCTGCAAGGCGAGGAATTAGCGTGTAGGGGTGCCCAGCAGCCTGACTTGTTTGGCCACTGGCAGTTTAGCGTATGTGACAGTATTCACAGATCCCATGGCCACTACTTAGGAATTTGAGACAGTTTGAGTGTTCTGTCTCAATCTCAGGGCCTGGTTCTATCTTCCATGTTTAACTTACAGTTCCGGTTCAGTAGGCTAGCCTGCCTCACCATTCCCCCAACCCCAGCCTCACCATTCCCCCAAACTCCCTCCCTTCATTTGCTAAATGAATCATTCTATCCCTCTGAATCAATAATCATGCTGTAGTTCGGTAGCATGAGCAGACTCCTTGAGCAGTTGAGGTGATACTCTGTACTGTTTGTCTGACCCTGTGGTCCTGTCTGTGTCCGGGACCACATTAGCCCCTTTGTCTCCTTGGCATCAGGCGTCAGTGTTTGGTCTCATTTTGTCTCGATCCTTGGTACCTTCTTCATGAGGATGGACCAGTTGGCACTTGGTGTTAACCCCAGTGTTCCTTGGCTTTCCTTCTTTGCCATTGGTACTCCTTTCCAAAATCTGCACCTGGCGCTATTCCACTGGTCTCCCTCC